GGGGGGGGGGGGGGGTGGGGGGTGTGTGTGTGTAGGGTTTTAATGGGGGGGGGTTGGGGGTGGTTGTGTGGGGGGGGGGTTTTGGGGGGGGGGTGGGTTTGTGGGGGGGGGTGGTGGTGGTTGGGGGGTTGACTGGGCAAAGCGACCCCAACACGTCGAAACGGTGGGGGTGGAGAGGGGAGGGGGTGTGGTTGGGGTGTTTGTGGTTTGTATAGGGATGTTTTGGGGGGGGGGAGGTACAATCGTTCTTGCTCGCAAGCCCTTTCCACCATTAATGGGGAAGGTCTCTCCAAATGTTGGATCTTCGCTTCTATTCTCTCCTTTCTAAAGATAAAAATTCTTTGTTCTTCCCTGTGCTCGGCTCCCTCGCTTCTTGTCTCCCTCCGCAACCGGTGCCACCGGGGGGGGGGGCGGGGGTATTTTGGGAGTGGGGGGGGGTGGGGGTGGGGGGGGGGGGGGGGGGGGGGGGGGGGGGGGGGGGGGAGGGGGCCAGGCGCGAAACAGCAGGGCAACAGGGAGCCGGACGGGGGGGGGGGGGGCGGGGGGAATATATATATAAGACACACAATATATAGCATATATAAGGCAGGGGGGGGGGGGAGCGACACAGGTTGTAAGAGGATAATATCGGGGGTATATACGCGGGCTGGGGCGCGCGAGCCCTAAAGCACCCTATAAGGGGGGGGGAGCGCAGGAGGGGGGGGGGGGAAATCGGATATCAACACAACTGGGCTCAAAAAGGGGGGGGGGGGGGGGGGGGGGGGGGGGGGGGGGGGGGCAAGACTGGGGGTACACCGGCGAAATAGCACTTACAACCAAACCGGGTGAAGACAGCAAAACCTGTAAGCACGGGTGGGGGGGGGGGGGTGCAGGACCAGAGGGACACAGGCAACCCGGGACAAGATGGGGTGGGGGGTGGGGGATATATAGGCGGTATGGGACAAAGGGGCAAAGGGGGGAGGGAGTGGTATCATATCGAGAACCGGGGGTTATAGTTTTATATTTTAAAAAATTATTTATTATAATTAATTATAATCCCCCCACAACCCCCCCTACGGCGAAACCACGGGGGGGACAGAGTGCCAGTCGAATAAGGTGATATATATATATGTGGATCGATATACAAGGTATAACCGGGGGGGTGGTAGGGGGGGGGGGGGGGGGGGGGGGGGGGGGGGGGATATATATATAATGGGGGTGACAAATGGGGGGGGGGGGGGGGGGGGGGGGGGTGGGGGGGGGGGATAGGGGGGGGGGGGGGTATATATAACACCCTATTATATATATATTTGGGGTATATACACACAGTATCTGGGGGGCCACGGCGCTATAGACCCCCAGGAGGATACAAGACGAAAAGGGACCGGAAGGGGTGTGGGGGGGGGCAAATACCGGGGAGAGAGAAACAACTGTCGGGGGCAACCAGGACACTGCTCGTATTATATAATAGACAGCGGAGAGCAGATGGGGCGGGTGGGGGGGGGGGGGGGGGGGGGCTGAGGGGGTAGATACCCCAAGGCCAGGGGGGGGGGGGGGGCACAGCATATAAGGAGCCAGGACACCGCGATATATATAGGCCACTATATTTTGGGTGCCATAGGGGAGAGGGGGGGGGGGATTACTGTGAGATAGGACCCATATAGTATATATGTGGGTGGGTAATATTTATAATATGGGGGGAGGGGGGGGGGGGGGGGGGGGGGGTAATTAGTATAGAATTTACAAGGTATATAACCCGCCGTCGTTCGTGGACTTTTCTCATGGGATTGTGGTGTGGACAGCGCACCGAGGAAAAAACCCCACACGGGGCGAGGCAAACACTACTCCAAGGCAAACAAAAGGGGGGGCAGGGAGGGGGGGGGGGGGCGAAATACCCGCGAAATGGGGGGGGGGGGGGGGGGGGGGGGGGGGGGGGGGGGGGGGGGGGGGCCCCCCAACACGGGGGGAGAACAGAGGAGGAACCGCCCCCGGCGCGGGAATAGACACCACAGGGGGGGGTGGGGGGGGGGGGGGGGGGGGGGGGGCACGTGAGGGGGTGGGGGGGGGGGGGGAGAATGGGGGGGGGGGGGGGGGGGGGGGGGGGGGAGATATATACACACACACACGCTGGCCCGGGGATATTTCGTATATATAATTTGGGGGGGCCTAGGGGCACTCTTAAAGGGCATGGTCGTTACGGGGGGGGGGGGGCGGGCTGGTGGATAGGGGGGGGGCACACAACCACAACGATACGCGACGAGTGGGGGGGGGGGTGGGGCATAAATGTACAGGGAAGGGGGGTGGGGGGGGGGGGCAGGGGGGACACACCGGGGGGGGGGGGGGGGGGGGGGGGGGGGGGGGGGGGGGGGGGGGGGGGGGTACACCTATATATATAAATATATATATAATACTCCTATATATCCCCCCCCCCGACTGAAGCCTTTTTTTGTTGTAGGAATTTGTTTTATTTTTTTTGTGTGGGGGGCAACCGAGGGGGGGGGGGGTGGCACGTACACAACGGGTGGGGGGGGGGGGGGTTTGGGTTCGCCGCGGGGGGGAAGGGAGGGGGCGCGGGGGACCCACCATATATATGCCTATAATAACCCGCATAAACCCTCGCACAGGATATATAGCACCGATGCGGGGGGATAATCCGAGCACCCAGGACCATAACCCGGCCACAACGGAGAAGAGTCTCCCCGAGGCACTGGGGGGGTGGGGGGGGAGGGGGGGGGGGGGCACCAAGACAAGGGGGGGGGGGGGAACAGATTAATGGGGGTAAAAAGTTTGGGTTGATATGATACACACACAGGGGGTTATTCACACACTTGTGAGGGATGCTTAATATATAAAAATAATAGCACCCCCGCTCATCGACCAATATCACAACTTTGGGATACGCACCATGCCGGCGAATGAAGATGGGGCCACCCGCCGCGGAGGGCGACGTAAAAGGCTAAAGGGTGGCTGCAGATTACGCGAGGGCACCGAGCGGACACCGAAAAGGGTGCAAAAAAGACCACACCCCCCAGGAGAGGGGGGGGGGGGGGGGACAAAAAGCCAGCCCACCGCAGAAAAGACTTGGGGGGGGGGGGTGGGACCCCGGACGAGCGAGAATTCGGGCCCCGGATATATACCGGGGTGTTGGCCAGGGGGGGGAGTGGCCATAGGTATCTATAATTTCTGGTGGGTACCGGCGGCAGCCGGGGGGGGGGCTCACACCATCCCTATAATGTATATGGGGGGGGGTTTGAAGTGTGGGGGGGGGGGGGGGGGTGGGAATTATCAACAATATCAAACAAACCGACCTGACTCCACTGGGGGGGGGGGGGGGGGGGGGACCCGAGGTAGGGGGACGATATATATATATATAGAGGGAAAAGCTCGCCCAGGGGGGGGTGGTGGGGGGGGGGGGGGTGGGGGGGGGGGCCGCTACGGGTATATCATATATGGGACCACACGGGATACATAAGGGGGAGGGGGGGGGGGGGGGGGGGGGGGGGGGGAGGGGGGGGGGGGGGGGGGGGGGGGTTAATGGATTGGGGGGGGGGTGAGAATTGGGGGAAAAAATTAGGGTTATTTGGGGGGGGGACAGTGGGGTAGTTGTATATGACAGTACTGTGCATATCCACTAATATCTAATATAATATGCCGCCCCTAAGATAACGGCTAACCCCGTCTCTTTTCTCTCTCTATCAATATTAACTCCAGTGTGATCGGGGAGTTAATTAAAATACGGTTGGTGGGGGGGGGGGGGGGAGGACAAACATGGGGGGGGAATGGTTTTGGTTAATATTAATGTATCGGGGACACGAACCAAACACTACGGCCGGGGGAGGCCCGTCCAACGGCGCAGGGCTACCGGGGGGATAAACCGGGGGGGGCCCCTAACCCACAGGGTGGCCATGGGGGGGGGGGGGGGTGGGGGGGGGGGGGGGGGGGGGGGGGGGGCAGACACACGAAGTGGGCGGGAAAGGAATCCCGGGCGGATCCACGCAAACTGGGGGGGGGGGTGGGGGGGGGGGGGGGGGGGGGGGGGGGGGGGGGGGGGGGGGGTGGGGGGGGGGGGGGGGGGGGGGGGGGGGGGGGTTCACACACTCTATATATACCGAGTACGGGGGGGCACACACTGTGGGACCACACACACCCCACCATTGGGGGGGGGGAAGGAGTGGGGGGGGGGGGGGGAATAGTGTAGGGGGGGGGGGGGGGGGGGGGGGAGTTGTAAATTGGGGGGGTGGTATATTTAAGGTTAATAAAATTGGGGGGATTTTTTATGTGGGGGGGGGGGGGAAGGGGGGGGGGGGGGGGGGGGGGGGGGGGGGGGGGGGGGGGGGGGGGGGGGGGGGGGGGGGGGGGGGGGGGGGGGTGGGAGGGTTTTATAATATACGCCGGGCCACAGGAGGCTGGGGGGGGGGGAGGGAGGGGGGGTGGGTGGGGGGGGGGGGGGGCGGAAAATAGGGGGATGGGGTTTTACATGTATATGGTATTACACTGAACATGGGGGGGGGTGGGGGGGGGGGGTACACCATATACACACATCGATATATATATACCTAGGGGAGGAAAGTATGTTTGGGGGGGGGGGGGGGGGGGGAAGAGGGGGAGGGGGTTAGTTTTTTGATTAGGGATGGTTTAATTTGGGGGGGGGGGGGTTTAAAAGTTGGGTATGGGGGTTGTATAAGGGGGGGGGGGGGGGGGGGGGGGGGGGATGTGGGGGGTTACAAATAGAACGAAAGTTCAAAGAACAACATTGTTTGCAAACAGCGCAGAGGAATTCCGGTGGTCCCCAATCTGAACCTCAGTCCCCTGACTGTATCTCAGAATTCTGTCCATAAAAACAGTAAGCAGCCTTGACGGAGGCCAACACTGGGAACAGGTCTGACTTACTGACTGCGATGCAAACTCAGCTCTCATTCTGGTCATAAAGCCACCGGGCGGCCCTTAGCAGAGGACCCCAGACTCCCTACTTCTGAAGAACTTCCCAAAGGACCCCCGGATGCGCGTTTTTTTGTTTGGATGTATGGTTTGTTGAGATTACGCTTTTTGACTTTTCTCTACTTTAAACATGATTACAGTGCTACTTGGCCTTCATACAAATGCCCAGAGTAGTTATTTTTTATTGATTCCTTCAAGCTTTAGTTAGAGAGCGACCTTTCTCTTTCACCCTCTATGACGATTTCAACATTGATGACAAATAACGCACAGAAGTAAGGAAGCTTGTTAGGTTCACTTGTGAGTGTGTTTTTTTCCCGCTGGTATCATGTTATTTCATGAAACACAGCTATCATGTTATTTCATGATACCAATTTATCATGTTATTTCATGATACACAACTATCATGTTATTTCATGATACCAATTTATCAGAAGCTGACAGCTTCTTCTTCTTCTGTATCTACAGTATCATGTTATTTCATGATAAACTGGTATCATGAAATAACATGATAAATTGGCAACATGAAATTTCATGATAAATTGGTATCATGAAATTTCATGATAGTTGTGTATCATGAAATAACATATTTATCATGTTATTTCATGAATGTATCATGAAATAACATGATACCAGCGGAAAAAAACACTCACAAGTGAACCTAACAAGCTTCCGTACAGAAGCCCTTTTTTATTTATTTAAAATGGTTGTTTAATATTGTCGTCAAAAACAGGTAAAACAATACACATAAGATGTGAATACTGCAGAGAATACGAGATAAAGCACAGTATCACAGGAAGGACGTTAGCTTAGCTTGCTATCGATAGCTAAATGTAGCTAAATGTAGCTAGCTCATTGGCCCTCATTTATGAAAGTTGCGCAGAAAAGAGTATATTTTTGGTGTATATTCCATTTACGCCAGACTGAACGCAGGATTTATAAAACGTGTAAGATACGCACAGATCTGAGCATACGCAGCCGCAAATACACACGACAGGTGTATTTGTATAGTGCCTTCACAAAGCAGGATCACAAAGCGATTCACATTAAAAATAAAAATAAACATACTGATGAAAAAAATACACACAAGTCAGATTTGTCATCGAAGAAACTGAAGAGGGTCCTCATTATGAACGTATCATGATCTGTGATCTATTCAAAATGTGCGTGTTTCCAGAGTGTTAGAGTTTTTCAGATGCGCAAATTCAAATTTAGAAACATGATGCTCAATGAAAACGCAGTTTATAATTTTGCCAGAGTGGGATTATGTTTATTATTGTTGTCCAAATCTTGCATTTCACGTGTGTTTTGGCGTGCTGTACCACCTACTGTAAATTCTGTGACGTCCAGATTGATAAATGCCGAAAAGTGTACATTTTTTGCGTACGCCTCATTTACACACCCTGATTTGGCCGTACGCAAGTTTCATACATGAGGCCCACTGTGTACAACAGAGTAAATGCATTTCAGTGAGAACTTTGGGCCAACGGAATACGTAGCTAACCAGTTATTTCCAGGATTACCACAGACTAGTCACAAATCCAGAGCTGGGTGATCTCCCTGAAAACCTCGTGAAATCTCTGTGTTGAGCCCCGAGCTGCCTTTGAATTCTTTCTTTCGGCATGAACCTAAGAGAGTAATGTGTGGACCTCGTCCACCGACCAGGACGCTGACTTTTGGGGCTTTCTGTGCGATTCCATTTTTCTGGAGTGAGAAGGACGTAATGTAGCCGAAGCAGAGCAGGCGGTTTTAAAGATGGCGGTTGAGTTGTTTTTACCAAAGGGTCAGACGTCGCTTCCAATGACGACACTCGTTGACCAATCAGTGTAAGGCAGTCGGCCGACGTCACGTCATGGAATCGCTTCGGTGTGGCTGGAACCACAGTCAAGGTGCTACGAATACTGTATGCAAATCTCGATCCTAACACTAGTGGAAATGTAAAATAACTGTGCCGTGCCGTGCCGTACCGTTACTGTGGAAAAGCGGCATAAGTACAGTGCTACTAACCCATTTTATACTTATGTGAACTAAATAATTGGGGTCTGATTCTGGATCGAGGACATAGGGCTCGATATGACGGATCACTGTTGGAAAAAGTTTATTCTAAGGTCTGAAATTAATATATGTACCGGCAAATCGAAGAGTTTACTTTGGAGATTCGCAATTCGCAGCGTGAGGATACGTCACCGGCGGGGGAAGGCAGGCTCACAGGCAGAGGGGCAGACTCCTTTCTGGATCAGCTTGTTTGAGTCGAGGTGACATCACCTCTATGCAAGAGATGACTAAAATTTCAAAGGTTTTGAGTGTTGTATGGTGTATCACTGAAATTATTATCACACAAGTGCATTGGATGAACTCTGAAACATGAAGAAAAGAGCAATATGGAACCTTTAAGTCCTGTGTGTCATTAGGGGCATATATTCTCATGATCAAGATACTTATCTCAAGATTTGTTTTATATATTTTACCTCCACTATGTTCCCTGTGGGACTCAGAAGCTCCAAGGTACCCTACTCACGACCCAGGTCTTTTTTTATATATATAATTACAGCTGGTAGGTGCAGGGCTTTTACAGCACGAGGGCAAAGGAGCTCCCTTTTCTGTTTAGCCAGAACAGCAGTGTTACTACTGCTGCTGCTGTGAAGATGTCAGATTGTGTTTGACAGAGCAGTGGGACCAGATGAACCAGGCTCAGACTGGGACAGCAGCACATTTGATGAGAAAACACCAAAGACCATTTGATGATCATTGCACTGTGGGGTAAAAATACTGTTGAATGGACGCAGAGATAAGACTTTAAATACATTTCCACGAGTTTAGCATGAGGCAGTGAGAGGTGTATGTATCTTACACTGGCAGCTGCTCTTCCTCTTGTTTGATGCTCACTTCTTCTGGTTCTTCTTTAATTTTAATATATGAAGTCTTCGTGTTCTCCTCCTTTATTAAAGCTCTCAACGTTTGCCCTGTTGACATTTTACAAATTGTTTAGCTTTGCATCGAGCTGAAATCCAAAACAGCGAATTGCACAGACCCGGAAAAGACTAGGCTTCTGCGCTCTGATTGGTTCTTCATAAACATCACCATATCCCTATTGGCTGAGAGTGATCGGGGTGGGACATATTTCTGGAAGCAGGAGTCAGCACAGCTTTTTAAACCAATGATGGAGGCTTTCGCAGCCCGCCCCCCTATAGAAAAATAGTGTATGTACCGGATTCCAAATTATAGACATAAGTGATGGGAGGTGGCGTAAAGAAAATGATACAGTAGTTACGATAGGTACTGGAGAGATGTTGTTATTGCATTGGGTAATGGTTGGTACTGTGATGGGAGACTTCGGGGAACGGCGCTTCACGAACATTGCCAGCCTCGCTTCTGTACCAGAACAGCTGTGACTACAGTGGTAGTTTACGCCAATGGGAATGTCTTGTGTGTCCAGAAAAGCGCTATATTACACTGATGCATTATTAATGCTGAACACATTTAAAACTATGTTGACTTCCATAGCTATAGAGAATTGCCCAGTTGAAAAATCATGAGTATAACTGGTTTGGTATTGTTAATTAGAAAAGGATAGTAGTAGGAAGTGCACCAGTGACAGATTTTTTTACATTTCATCTTGCGAATTTAAGGATCATGGGTTTTATTTCCATGATCAAATACCATTGTGTTTTTGGAAAGAAGATCATAGAGGACTGAACGCAATGGTGTAGGTTTGGTTCCAATCTTGGTGGGGACATTCACTACGACCTGAGTCTACACCCATTGACACGGGGTCCAGAGTTTCTCCCCCAGAATTTGTTGTGTAATCACACACTATATTTGCAATAGTGTGTTGCCTTCTATACTAAACTCAGCTGTAGACTGAATGAGAAGCAGTTAAGGATTTTTTCTAATAGTTAAAACAAAATCAATTGGATCAGAGCTTCTGAGTTTTGTGTTGCGTTCATTCTATACTGACTTAAACCTAATCCAAATCTACATAATAGCCCTCACCTGAGGCTCTAACAGTTCAGGAACTGCTCTCGATACTTGAAATAAATCATGCTCTGATCTTTCAATTTCCTATAATAAATAAAACAGAGGAGAAAATATTGAATTAGAATCTACAGTGAGTATCTCACTACATTGTTTGACATATACGATCAATCTCTAAAAACAATTCATAGTCCCATGCATACCTACAAAATTCCAACCTCACCTGATGCACTGAAGGGCCTGTTGCTTCTACCTCAACATTCCCTATATTGTTCTCTCTTGTTGGTTGAGTTTCTGTCACAGGGGTAAAAAAAGCAGGTTCTTCGGACCCGGATTTAAAAAGGGACCACTGGATTAAAAGCGAATTAAAAGCAATTTATTATAAAATACATTAAAAACAAGTAAATAAAAGCAATAAAAACCTAAGCTAAAAAACAAGGCAAAAAAGCTAAAACAGAGGCTAAAACAGGCCAAAATGCATCCCCACGGCCTGGGCCGCCAGACCACGGGGCTCTCACCCGCCGCGCCTGGCTCCCGTGTCTGGCTCCCTC